TGACTTTTGAGGATAATTGGTAAGCGGGTATTTATGATTGGATCATTGATGGTTATAGGTGTTGGAGTTTAGGGCAATGTTTCGGGAGCGTGTTTTCGTGGTTTAGTCCGGCATTGCAAGGTGAGTTATCCTCACTATATCAACAGAGTCTAAGGCACCAATGTCGGCCCTTTATGGTTTGTATTTGGATTATTGCATGATATGCTTAATGATTTACATCCTGGTAGTTAGGATGGTGATATGCTATGTTAGTGACCGGTTAGGTCGATATCCTGGTTATAGGATTGTTGATATGTTTATTGATCTGTTAGATCGGCGTCCTGGTAATTAGGACGGTATTATGTTTAGTGACCTGGTTAGGGTCCGTATCCTAGTATATAAGATGATGTTATGTTAGTGACCGGTTAGGTCGGTATCCTGGTTAGGATATTGCTATACTATATGATCTACTAGATCAGTTTGTCTGTCTATGGACTGTTTTGTGATTACATGTTATATGTGCACATGGTTATTTTCTTGATGTTTGGGTTGAGGCGGTCCTGCTTCGTGCTGAAGGCCAACATACCCTACGAGCGGTCCGGATAGACTGTAGGCTCGTATGGCGGTCCAGTCATACTGAAGGCTCGGGATAGATCCAGATAGACTGTAGGCCCGGTGCGGGCGGTCCAGTCATACTGTAGACTCGGAGAGTGGACCGGGTGGACTGAAGGCCCGGTGCAGGCGGACCATTCACACTGTATACTCGAGATGCATGGTTGTTCTGTATTTGTTGATATGATATGATTATGGTTATATGAGGTTGGTATTTTGGGGGTAACTCACTAAGCTTTCGGGCATACAGTTTCAGTTTATTGTTTCAGGTTCAGCGGATGCCCGCGGGTAGGCGAAGGCGTGACCGTACACTTCCTCGATTTACGATTATGATTTCTGGGAACTCTGATGTATAAACTATTTTGAAAACAAATTGTAATAATTGAACGGTTTCAAATGAATCAAAAAGTTTTAAATTGGCTCGAATTTTTGGGATGTTACACTGTAAGTAGATTTCGTAAAGTAATAATTCCTCAATAAGATGAATTAAACGTACGACGGCGTAATACATTGACATGGAAGTATGATGTTGTAATACGAAAATAAATATGAGTACGTCTTGAAGACTTATCAGATCAGACAGTTAATGCTTCTTCACAAAGTTTCTAACTCTACTTGAGACACCAATGGGCTGCAATGTAATAGAATAATGCCTAAAATTGATTAGCTTTGTCTCCTGTGTTGCGGTTAAGTAACACAATTTTCTGGCTGAATGAAAGTTTAACCTGCAATATTTTGTATAACATTAAAGAAAGAAACAAATAATTCATCTAAGGCTATTGAGGTAAACACAGTCTAATCCACTCACAGGTTGTCGAACAAAGTCTGGTCTGATGTGATCTAAGGCAGCATGTTAAATGTATGTTGGGATTTTGGAATGCTGGAAACACCCGGTTGATCTGGTCGGATCTATTTGTTCTGACATTTTTTAAAGTAAATAACTCTATCTAACTTCAGTATAAAATTAATATACATTATAAATTTCCTATAATTTATTATCTTTACATTCTTATAGAATGTTAAGCCTTATGTATTTATTAATTAAAATTATAAAAACGAATGAGATGTATAACAAAAAACAAGAACTACAAAAGGCATGGAATTACTAAAATATTTTTCAAGATGAAACAAAAATAAAAATGAAAAAAATATTGAAATATCAGTCCAATCCTGGTTTGGTCGAAAAAAATCGTTTTAGTCAAATGCCAGTCAAATGTGTGAAGAGATTTAGGTCCTGTGTTATATCTTTATCGTCTTATTTCACATGTTCTTATTTTGTGGTGCTATTTTTATTGTTTTTTGTTTGTGATGTATCCTTAATACAGGACTGCCTAAACTTATGAGAGATAGAAGACTACTAAAACTTATATTAGGACATGATGCTTGAGATTTCCATTAACATATATAATAATGAAATATTCATCTCCTAAGTTAAAACATAAAATATTTTCCAAAATAAGTCTTACTGTAAGTTTTAAACACCAGATTGTATATTTACAAATCACAAGCATAGCAACATGTTAAAGTTGATTCATTTTTTATTAACATAATGTTTATTTGATTTTTTTTCTAACATATTCATATGGTTCTTTGATCCATTACTGTTTTCCACAAAATTAACGAACTGCCAACCCTCCATTGCTCGATATTCTTTTATAACCCACAACAGCCATGAAGAAGCTGAAAAAATCAAATTAAGAATGCACGTTGTTAACATGTGAGAATTGCCAGTATGATATATGTTAAAAAGGTAAAACATTTATCAATACAGATACATTAGGCCAATCCAACCATTAACTAAAGACGACAATAGAAAGATAAGTCGAGCCCACAATAATTATATTATCTAAAACAAAAAATGGGACACTACATATCACGATATATAACTATATCACCACATAACATTAGGTCTAATTGGACTAAAAGGAATAGTAACTAAAAGAACTTTGAGACCAATACTACAAGTTATTTACACGTTTTTCTCATTGCAATTTGCATACTTGTCGAACACAACACTAAAAGTATATTCTTGAATAACAAAATATACAAAAACAATAATAAATTCAGGAGAAGATTAAAGAAAACAGTAGTTATCTGATAAGAGAGAAATCAAAAATTCAAAAGCCAGATAGTAATTGAAATGAATTTCAAGTTAAATTCATTGAACTCGATGAAAAGTTTTGAAGGCTTGCAAATACCCCAACATTAGCATGTACGGTAAGTCGGTAACAAAAACATGACATACTTTCAAATACTTTACAAAGCAATCCGCCTTTACACTGCAAAACAAAAGGGTTATTTTTTAGCTTTTTGTTTTCTTGAATATAAATTGGGGATATCACCAAAAAAACGTCATAACAATGAGACCAAAAGTTTCTTACATATGCTCACACCGGTTGTTTCAATGGAATATCCTTCGGATTAAAAAAAATACATAAACATAATATTTTTTTCCCTTTTCAGAAAGGAAACATTCAAACAACAACAGTAGTGAAACATATATGATATATCTTCAAAATACATGCTATAATTACAAAAAATTGAAATGAAAAGTAACAACAATAAGAGAAGAGCTAACCTCGAGTTCTTTCATGAAGGGTTTTAGCGACATGAAGATGTTTCTTCCTAAGACCTCTATTGATGTCTTCACCCAAACTCTGCAACAAAACCTTCACAACATCTTCAATGGCTAAAGTCTTTAGTTGTTGCTCAAACCATCATCCAAGGTGCCCATTATGTGAAACTTTAACAAAAAATCAGAATCCTTCCAAAACCCAAATTAGGTCCAATCCAAGATCTAAATCTATATTCCAAACCCTTTAAGTAAAAACATCTAAAAATCGAAATCACCGGTTCAGAAATCAGAAGAATATATCAAAAAACAATAAACCATTCAAGTAGAAGCACTTTTTGGAGCACCAACATTCTTCATGCTATCTCTAGAAGTTGTTTGATTCCCTAAGACGTGAATACTGTCGGGCTGCAAAAAGGTACTGAACAATCAAGACATACTGCATGATCAAGAATTTCAAATCATGTAACAATAAAAATTACTTATATTCGGCCATATGAAGTTAATGACATTCCCTTGATTCAAGGGATAGTATAAATGCAACAACCAAAGCACTTGCCTTTGTGAAATTTACCCTTGTTACATCCCCGTGTCGTATGCCTTCACCTAAATTTACTGGAGATATATACCTTCCTAGGATTTAAAGCCTGTCAGGAACCCTAATTTTAACATAGCAATCAGATGGATTAACAAAGACGGTGAAGATACCAGTCAGGCGTTAAGTTATCAAAGCCCTAATTTCAGAAAGGAAGAAAAGGATGAAGAAGGTGTCGGTAATACGAACCCAATAAAAACAAAATTAATAACACAAAAAGGATCAATCGCATTACCTGTGAGTAAAAGAGGGAAATAGAAATTGAATCGGATTGATCTTGATGGAGAGAATATGGCATAATATATACACCCTCTTTGTCTTGAAGAAGTGCATTCGTCGTCATGTTGATTGGAAGCATCGTGTTTTCCTGGAAGCGGTGCAAAAAAACATATTCTGATGGTGTTGTTTAGAAGATTTGAGGCAATATGAATCGACATATATGTGAATCGACGTTAGATGTCCATGACGTTGTTTAGAAGACAGGGTACGTGGCGTCCTACGAACCTTGTGAAATCGTTGTGGGTGGAATGAGAAAAA